ACTGACTGCTCTTCCAGAGGTCCTGAGTTCAATTCCCAGCAACCACATGGTGGCTCACAACCATCTGTAATGAGATCTGGTGCCCTCTTCTGACCTGCAGTCATACATGCTGTATACATAATAAATAAATAAATCTTAAGAAAAAAAAAAAAAGAATAAAGGCCTTATTCTGGCTCCAGTTCAAAGCTCAGTCTGTCACAGTGGAGACGTCACGGTGGAGACGTCACGGTGGTCAGAGCTGGAAGCAGGTGGGTGCATCCCACTCAGAACCAGAAAACAAAGAAGGGCACACATGACGCTCAGCTCCCTCTCCATGTGTTCCATCCAGGACTCCACCCAGGAAGTGGTGCCCCTCCTGCAGACAGGCTTCTCACCTCAATCAAGATAACCCCCTGCAGACCTCCCATTGCCCATGTCCCACGTGATGCTAGAGCTCATGGAGTTGGCAATTGACACTAACTGTTAGAACACCTTAATTATCCTAAGTGGACATTGAGGGAGCGAAGATCGTGGTCATTTTAAACGTTTTATTTGCCCGCGTGTGTATAGTAGGAAGGGCACAGGCCCTCGCCCGCCACAGATCTCACATCTGGGCACAGGACAACTCTTGGAACTGGCCCTCTCCTGCCACCTTGTGGCATCGGGTCATCAGGCCTGCCGGCAAGGGTCTCTACCTGGGAGCCATTCCATTGGCTTTATACCGGCGATTATGATAACAGCATTTTGGATGTAATGATTGAGAGTAGAGATGCCGTCTGTTTGGTTTCCTGTGGGAGCTGTGGGAGAATGGCTGGTAACATAAAAACTGAATAAATATCTGCTGGATTGTTTGCCTAAGACAAATGTTCCCTGGCTAATAAAATGCTACAACACACTTGTGCAGCTATCCAACTACTTGGGAAAGCCATTAGTAAATCTTTGAAAGGATTGGAAATAGTACCAGATGCTGAATTCTATTGTGCCAGATGTGGAAGCCCACTATGATTCGTTGCTTAGGGCTTTGAAGGAATAAATTAATATTTTATTCTCCTACACTGTGAAGCCACAACAATCACCATTTGAATGGGAGGTCACGTTTTTTTCCTGGACTCAAAAATAAAAAATAAAAATGGAGCATTGGAATTAGCTGCCGGCCAGCCCTGCCTCCTTCAGCGTAAGCTGGGACCGCAACAGTTAAGTGACAATTTGTCAACATCTATCGAAGCTGCAAATGCACAGTCTGTGATCCAATCATGACCCTGGGGATTTGTCATCATGACAGACGACGCCTGGGCAGACAGCAGCTTACAGGGTAAATTTGGTCCAGTATAATTTGTAATGATAAAAAGTTGAAAATAATGTAAATCTGCATGTCTTTCAACATACAGCTAAGTAAATAATGGTATAGCCACGCGACAGAAAGAAATTTCTTTTTAAGAAGGATGCTTTGACACACTGGTAAGAAGAAGAAATCTCCAAATTACTAACTGGAAAAAGAAGTGGATGTGTACCACACGTATGCAGTGCAGTAGAAGCCAGAAGATGGCGCCAGATCCCTGGGACTGGAGTTAAAGACCGCTGTCAGTTTGGTGGGTGCTGGGAATCAATCTCAGGTCCTCTGGAACAGAGGCTAGTGCTGTTAACCACTGAACCATCCCTCCAGCCCCTCCAGCTCCTACACACATTTTTTGTAAATGAAAAATTTGTATGGAAATCAGTTGTACTAAATGATAGCATTGGTATAAAAAGAAAAATGTGGTATGTCTATTCTTTTTGCATAGGTTACATTGGAAAGATAGACAAGAGATGATAATCTATAAAGGCACTGTGCGGCACCTGCCTCGAATTCCAGCACTTGGGAGGCAGAGGCAGGCAGAGCTCTACTAGTTTGAGGTCAGCCTGATCTGATCTACATAGTGAGTTCTAGGCCAGCCAGGGATACACAGAGAGACCCTGTCAAACACACAAAAATATTTGTTTGTTTGTTTATATGTTTGTTTGTTTACTTATTTATATGTGTATGGGTGTTTTGCCTGAATGTGTATCTGTACTACATGCATGCAGTACCCATGGAGGCCAGAAGAGGGCACTGGGGCCCCTGGGACTAGAGTTACAGACCGTTGAGAACAGCCACGTGGGTGATGGGAATTAAATCTAGGTCCTCTGGAAGAACAGCCAGTGCTCTTAACCACTGAACCATCTCATCTCTCCAGCTCCAAGAAGCACTTTTTCATTGTTTATGTTTATTGTTGTTGTTGCTGTTTTGAGACAAGTTCTCTCTATTAAGAAGCGCTGGTTCTGTTTTTAAGTTTCAATAAATTTGCATGTAGGGGCTGGAGAGATGACTTGGTGGTTAAGAGCACTGGCTGCTCTTCCAGAAGCCTGGATTTGATTCCTAGCACCCACATTTCTGCTCCCAACCTTCTGTGACTACAGTTCCAGGGGATCTGACACCCTCTTCTGTCTCTGTAGGCACTGCATGCACATGGTGCACATGACAAGCGGGCAAAACACTCATACAAATACAAAAATTAACAAATCTTTTTAAAGTGTGTGTATGTGGTGCATGCATGTCTGCACAAGTGTGTGTGTGTGTGTGTGTGTGTGTGTAACCCCAGTGTTGAGGTTACAGATGTGCACATCTGGCTTTATCATTTATATAGGCAGTGTTCCTCATGTTTGTGTGGCAAGCATTTTACTGAGTAAGCCATCTCCCCATGGCCAGTGCTTCTGGATTTTGAACTATGTGAATACATCACTTATTCAAAAGCAAACAAATCTAAAAGACCAATCATTGATTAACTTCACCTGGCAATCTAATGTGTATCTTACACTCGGGAGAGAAGTGAAAGACTTGAGTTTCTGTGCTACAATAGGAAAGATGCACACAATTGTAAATGTCAGGCAACAGCTTGGAAAAGTGTAACAGTGCTCCCATCAGCCGGGGCTAAAGTGTCCTCGCTTCCTGGGACAGAGAGAAACAGAAGAAACATCACCACAGCTTTTTGGAGCGTACATGTCCTCATTTTGATTGAGTGGATTTCACTCCGATGAGGGTATTTGAGGAGCATATATAATGTTTCCAGATGTGCTAGTGTGTGCGTGTGTGTGTGTGTGTGTGTGTGTGTGTGTGTGTGTGTGTGTGTGCTCACACATGCATGTGCACTATGCGTGCACAGAACTGAAGAAGGTAAAAAGAGAAAGCTACAGGACACTGGATCAAAGATGCTACTTCACGCTCAGAAAGCAAGAGGAAGCTTTAAAATGTGCTCCAAATACACAAAGAGCATTTCTGGAATTCTCAGGACACTGCAACCTGAAATTTGCATGGAAATCAGTTGTACTAAATGATATTACATTCATGATAATGAAATTTGCAACAGGTGTCTGAGGAAACCTGAAATGGGGAGGTATGGTGATATTTTATTTGTGCTGAAATGTGACTTTATTTGTATGTTAATAAATAAAGTTGCCTGGGGGGTCAGAGCTAATAGCAAGCCACAGCAGAAGTCTGGCAGTGATAACACACGCCCTTAATCCCGACCTCATGGCAGGCAGATCTCTGTTGTTAAAGGCCATTGCTGAACCCATACAGGCTTGTCTGTTAACCACTTTAAAGGTAGAGCTGTTGGTGTCTTTGGGAAATCATCAGTTGTTGTGCCCTGTTGTTGTATAATATGGATGACTGGTGGGCACTCATTAGAATAATACCTTCTAATATTTCTCTCAGAAACATATGCTAGTTTATGATTTGTTTCTGAGGTTGGAGGGATGTTAATCTGAGTATTCCATTGTTGCAACAGGGAGGGGTGGAGAGGTCAGTTTTACCAAGGAAAACTGCCTTTTAGCCAAACGTTCTTAACACGATTTGAGTTCTACTTTCAGCAAGGGCGACCCAGGGCCCATCCGCATCATGTGAAGAGGGACTTCCGGTTCACAAGTCTTCCTTCCTCCCCACTTCATCTGGTACCCCTGACAGTGCAACCCATAGACACCACCTATACAGAGAGCTTCAACCCAAAAGATGATCGCTTTTGTGGTAGGAAGTGGGGGAAGGAAAAAGAAAGTGTTGGAAACTTCCAGTCTTCCAAAAACCAAAACCACACAATGCAAGTGTGCCGCTGGTGTGTGAGCACTCAGTCTCCCGGTAGCCACTCCGAGTCATTTAAATTCTTTAAATTCGTGGGATCAGTTTCCCATCATGCACAATGTCGTCTTAACCGCTCTTTAAATGGGTGGGCACTGGGACTCTTCAGACAGTTGGAGAGGGGTGAGAATCTTGTCAGGCCCAGAACTGGAAGACTCAAGGACCTTAGGAAAATCCAAGGACGGACATGAAAAATCAGAACAGGGTTTCTCAGACTCCGCTGTACCCAAGCATCACCTGGTAACCTTGCCTAATGTAGACTGTTCCCTCAGTTCTGCGTGGACCTGTGACTTCATTTACAACAAGCACCCATGTCCAAGGTTCTCATGCATCTGGAGAGGTGTGGACCGCCAAGGCCGGTTCCCCTAAAGCTCTCGGCTTCCCGGAAAGGAGACGTTGCTAAAATGAGGTAAAGTCAAAGGTAAAATTCCTCTTTGTGTGTTGTGGTGGAGAGGGCGACAGCAGGTGGGAGAAGGTGCTAGAAGGGAGGAAGCAAGACACAAGCCCAGCTTTGGATCTCTCCTTACACTCTTCTGCAAACCAGAGACACAGCGCGTGGTGATGGGCTTCTGGGAGCTGCTTTACAGCTGCTGGCTGCTGCCACCCCTAGGAAGTGAAGCTGCGGCTGGCAGCGGACCCGGACGTTTGCAGCAGGATCTGGCAGCCAGGCTTTTCCTGCGCTGTGTGCCTCAGGCAGCCAGAATTCCACGTGGCTGCGGATTTGCTCCCGTCTATGGGTTCCCACCAAGCCCAGCGTTTGAGAACTTCAGTCACCCACGAGTCCTGCCCTGGACCATCGCAGCTGCATCTCACCCCAGTCAATGGTTCCCTTCCTAGGTGGTTCGGTGGTTGGGAACAGCCTGAAGCCAATGGGCAGTGGCCTGAGTCACTGGTTCTATGGACCAGGGCTCCCGGGAGACGGCAGGTGGTTCCCTCCCGCTTGGCTTGGAGAAGCATGGTAGATGTGCTCAGGTGTCTGCCCTGGATTAACGCAGTGATGGGACGTATTGGACTTGGGTTGAGGCGAGATACTGTGACCTCGCCCCACCCCCATGGTCTGAGGGGTAACCTTGGATCGCATTAGAGCGCTTGAAAACTGGGCTAACTAGAGGGAGGAATAGTACAGATGCTCTGTGGCACGTGGATAAAATTCAGTGTGACCATTTTACCACTAGCCCTGACTTGGAGTTACCAATGGTCTCTGTCCCGGGAATGCAGGACTCAGTGTGGACCAGACCACAGGGGAGGGAGAGGCGGCTAGGGTGAGGGAGGTCTGGGCAACAGGAAGCCCAAGGGAGCTCATGGTGGAGGAAAGTTGGGCCCTGGGGGAAGAGGGAGTGGGGAGGACAGGACAAAGGGATAGAAGGAGCTCGTGCAAAAAGATGGGAAAAGAGCTTTGAATGCCCTGCTTCTGAGAACAGGGGCATGGACCAAAGCGAAAAGCAACCGAGTCAGGACCCCTCAGGCTGCAATGCTCAAAGCCATATTGCAGCAATCTGAACAGAGCTGTGGTTTCTAAACAAAACGTTTTCTCGTGACTCTCCAGAGAATCAGCCAGTACATGGGTTCCTCCTGGATCGATCCTGCCTGGCAGGTGCTAGGAATAATTCAGGTGCCTCCTATTCCCTAAACCCACCACCAGGAATTACCAGTAGCCTGGATGGATCTCTTCTGTCCCCAGAGACCAGTTGCCTAGAATCCAGCCTGTGCTAGCTAAATCTACCTTACAACTAAATGGGCATGCTAACCTCAGGACAGAACTTGTCACAGGACCAGGGGTGCCTACCTAGGTGCCTGGGGACCTTACTCTCTCACCTAGACCCCTCCCCTCGACCCTCTGGATTAATTCTGATGAGGCAGGAGATTAGTTCTGGAGCAGTGGACTACTCCAGACTGTCTGGAAAACCCAACATGGGTCAAGGAAACAGTGAAGGCCTAGTGCCTCCTGACTACCTAGCAGGGCAGGAAGGGAAATGGAGGCTGTGGAATAATCAGGATCCAGCTCCTGCCGGGACCTCTAATCACTGGTATCTGTGAAATAGAAACAATCATACTTCCATCCCAACACCAATACCAAGGAAGCTGTTGGGAAATTTGGGGTGACATGCTGAGCCCAAAAGAAGTTCATTTCTATCTCTCTTCAGTCCTATCCAAATGTCATTCCACCAGGAACTCGGGCCAGGACCAGGACTCATTTTAATGGCATGAATCACCTCCCTGAGACTCATTTTCCTCGTTTCTAAAATGGGCCAGTGAGAGAGTCACTGAAAGAGAGCCTGTCAAAACCAGCTAAGTGCAGGCAATGGCTCAGGTAACCTTGAAGAAGTCACCAGTTCACACGCCCCCACGGTCCAGAGTACAGACCCCACTACTCACTAAGTACATGCCTTTGCCTACAGATGCACCATTTTACCATGACGCCTCGCACTAGCCCATGCACAGCTGCAAGACTGCGCCTTCAGAAACATTCACCAAGCGCCTACCCACCTGCCAGACGGCCTGGGGTACACCCTGGCCAGGCCCGCTGGCCCCTGAGCTGAGTTTCGACTCCCGGTGCGTCTTACCGCACACGTCGGAGCCCTAAGACTGCCCTTCTGCATTCCTCCTGGCTTCCGGACCTCCACCTATCATCCCCACTCTCCAGTGCCAGGAGCCTTGACTGCCGCCGCCACCCCGCACCCCGGGAGGGCTCTGCACAAGGACACCGCTCTTCTTGGCAGCCAGGCAGAATCGCAACCTGAATGCTAGAGGGACCAAGGAAGGGAAGGGGGAGAGCCAGAACCCAACGCGGAAGCCGGGAAGCGGTGGGAGGTCTGAGCCCTGGAGCCCCGAAAGAGTCCACCCCAGCCGGTTTGGCACTGGCTCCTCCTGGGCGGCCAGGCTGTGGAGCAAAGGCCGGCCCTGACACGCACCCGGCCTTTTGTGCGAAGGGAACACAAAGGGGAGGGAAAAACACGTCTTCCGTTTTGAAGGAGGGGGCCAACAGCTCCAGGACGCCTAGGCCAGCCAGGAAGTGCCTGAGCTTGGCTGGCGGATTAGCCTAAGCAAGTGAGCACTCAATTCCTGGGGAAGGAACGTTGGTCCAGCTGCGCACGCCGGTGAGGAACGCAGCTCCGGGACCCGCCCTGGACACACCAGCAGGAGCTGGATCCAGACCAGTGAGAAAGTTGTCTCTCGATCGAGAAGGGCAAGCGAGGACCAACCCCCCCCCTCTAGTTTCCATGGGGGTGGGGGTGGGAGTGATGGTAAAGGAGACACAAGGAAATATCTCCAGCCTCCAACTTGCCCCTGAGCCAGAGACCTGGGAACACAGATGGTCCCCAGGCCGCAAGCAGCTCAGATGAAAGGGAGGCAGCGGATCGGAGGAGGAGACAGTTGGGAGCTGCGGGTCAGAACTTCCGACTTCGGGAGTGAGGACCACGAGATGCCGCTGCACATCCTGGAACTGCAGTCTGGCCACAGAGCTAGGGGATGTGCGGCGGCTGGGAGCGGAGAAGCATGCGCTCCTGCCTTCGGGCTCCGCCTTTCCAGGCTCCAGATTCTCGCCGCGGTAGAATGGACCCCCCAACTTTCATCCCCAGCTACTGGACCAAGTGTGCAGAGAATGCCAGCCTGCTGACTCTCGCAGACTTCCGGACGCGGGACAGACAAACCAGTGGACCGCAACAAAAGAAGGAACCAGGGCTCCCGGATGCCTCAGGCGGCCACACTAGCCTGGGCGGCTGCCGCCTGAGGTTTGTTAGCTAGGTTGGCAGGCGCACAGCTCCACGCCCCAGCTGGTGGCCCCACAGAACGCAGCCCCACACACACCCTCACTGCGGTTCGCCCCAAAGGCCCAAGAGTGGTCCTCACACGCCCAAGTTCCTAATCTCCACCCCAACCCCCATGTGACAGATTCTGCTAATTGAACGGTTATGGGTCATCCTCGTAACCGTTGGGCGACATTATCACCACGCTTCGATTCTTCATGTTTTAAATACATATTTAACGGATGGCTGCAGAGCCAGCTGGGAAACACGCGGGTTGGAAAACAAAGCTCCAGAAGGCACGAGACTTGGGACAAACGCGACAGCCCACTCTCTAGAGTGGACCCCAGAGGGAGACTTCTCACTGAGTGCGGGGCAATAGAGTTTTCACGTCTGTTCTGACTTTGCTACAAGGTCAATTATTGATTGTCCGCTTTGCTTGATGTTAGAACTATATATGCGAATAAAATACCAAGCAATAGAAGCAACCAGAGAAAGGACGGTTAAACCCCCCTGAGAAAGAATTGGGCTCCTATGTATCTGGGGCGGGAGCGTGTAGCCCTTGAGATCTGTACCTGAGATAAATACCCAAACAAACAAACAAAACAAATCTGAGCTGGAAACGTCTGGATGTGAGAAACAGTTGGGGGTTGAGGGGAGAATCTGCTGTCTCTATGCTTAGGGATCGCCAAATGCTTGCATCTGCGGTAGGCAAGGACCACCTGTATAGGACTGGCGATGTTTTTGTTTGTTTGTTTTTCCTGTAGGCTTGCCGAAATCAGTTTCTAGATTTTTCTCTTCTGTAAAATGGGTAAACGTGTAGTTATCTCTAAATTACCCCAGACGGTTCTCCAGATCGGGTTTCTCCGCTTTTTCTCTGTTGGTTTTCTATGAAGGCTGCTCCTACCCACAAAAAGTGTTCCAAGGCAGCCAGGAGTGTCGTTCAAGTATCAACTCCCCTTCAGGGCCTCAGATAGCGCTTTGCAAATAATGTTGCCCCTACCCCACGATGTGGACGTCAAGGTGGTGTTGAAACCACGGGGGCTGTGCTCCCCTGCTGGTAGGTAGGAGCGGGAGTCTTTCACCGGCTAGGAGTTAGTGCGATGGCTGTGCGAACATCTCTCCACACACCCCTCCACATCACGATGAACCGCGATTTCTCCGGTTCCTCATGGGCCTGTGTCCCCCAAGGCCGTGCTCCCACCTGGGGGCGCTACCGCCTGTCCTCGGAACTGCGGCGGCAACACCCACCGATGAGAAGCGGGCTGAGGGAGTGGGGTGTTCTGTACTCGGTTAGCCTTGACTCGCGCCAGAGGGACGAAAACCCCCGGCCAGAGTCGGGCAGCAGACCACAGGCGCACGCAGGGTGGGCGGGGAGGGGGCTATCCAGGGCTCCAGGTGTGGCGCGCAGCCTCCGAGTACACCCTAAGACCTTGACTTGGTGGGCTCTCTGACGAGTTTGCGGGGTCCCCACCCCACTCCTCACCCCTGCCTGACGCTACAGCGACCATATTTTTTTTTATAGAAAGTTGCAGATGTCCCCTCTGGCCCAGAGTCCCCAGCCCTCTCTAACCACCCCACCTAGCTTGCCCTCCTCCTCCTCCTCCTCCCTTTCGGCTCTGGCCTTTCCCTGCCCGGGTCCCTCCTCCCGTCCCTCCTCCCGAATCTCTCCGCCGCGGGCGCCCATTGGCTGTGCGCTGAGAGTAGGCGTGTGCCGGGCCGAGCGGGTTTCATTGAGCGGAATTAGCCGGATGACATCAGCTTTGCAGCCCCTCGGGCCGGCCCAGCTCATTGGAGCCGCTGCCCCTCCAGGAAAAGCACATTGTTCCCGCCCCCGCCCGGACCACCGCCGCCGCCGTCGCCACTGCCTCCACCCGGCTATAAAAACCCGCGGAACCCCGAAAGGTGTGGGTGCTTCCTGCAGACCGAGCCGACACCAGCGCCGGCAGCCAGGTTCTCCTCTGCAGCGGGTACCTCGAATCCAGTTCACAGTGAGTGTCCCCGCCCCTCATCTGCCCAAGCCTAGATCCTGAGGACTGACTTCCCCAACTCCGCTAGGACCTAGGGTACACCCCTACGCGCAGGCTTGCTGGCCCGGACCCTGCCCCTGCGGGTCAGCTGTTCCTGGTAGCTGCTTTGGTGCCGCCGACACTCACCGCAGCATCCATCCCCAGCGCCAGTTAACTCCTGTTGCGGGAACCCAGGCCCCGGCGCCGCGGCAGAAGCAGCGCTTGGCTTGCTAAGCCCCGTGCTGGCTCTGGGTGCGCGAGTGCACGCGTGCCCGTGTTTACTGTGTCGTGTCGATGGAGATAAGGTGGATGCGTCTGAGCGTGACATAGACATACTTCTCTATTTAGAACTCCAGCCCAAAGAAAAGTCCCCATTTATTCCAGGCTGGAATGAAGAAACAAAAACCTCTAGAATGTCCCTTACCGACGGCCACCCAGGGCTCCCTGAAATAAAGTAACCCGTGGACGATAGTGGGAAGGGGAGGCGGGGAGATTCGTTAGGAGCACTGCCGTGTCCCGGGCTGCTAGCAGGCCAGAAACAGCAGCGAGGTGGACATCAGCCACCTTTGCGGGTACCCTGAGCTGCGGTGCAGGCGGGAGCGGCAATTTTGTCTCACTTCTCTCTCTCTCTCTCTCTCTCTCTCTCTCTCTCTCTCTCTCTCTCTCTCTCTCTCCCTCCCTCCTTTCAAGTTCCGACAGTTGAAAAAAGAAGGACCCTTCGAAAGCTAAGATTATCCCCGGGGCCATGGACTCGGACGCCAGCCTGGTGTCGAGTCGCCCGTCGTCGCCAGAACCCGATGATCTTTTTCTGCCGGCCCGGAGCAAAGGCGGCAGCAGCAGCGGCTTCACAGGGGGGACCGTGTCCTCGTCCACGCCGAGCGACTGCCCGCCGGAGCTGAGCGCAGAACTGCGAGGGGCCATGGGCGCAGCGGGCGCGCATCCCGGGGACAAACTGGGCGGCGGCGGCGGCTTCAAGTCTTCTTCCTCCAGCACGTCCTCGTCCACGTCGTCGGCGGCCACGTCGTCCACCAAGAAAGACAAGAAGCAGATGACCGAGCCCGAGCTGCAGCAGCTGCGTCTGAAGATCAACAGCCGCGAACGCAAGCGCATGCACGACCTCAACATCGCCATGGACGGCCTGCGGGAGGTCATGCCATACGCGCACGGCCCGTCGGTGCGCAAGCTCTCCAAGATCGCCACGCTGCTGCTGGCGCGAAACTACATCCTGATGCTCACCAACTCCCTGGAGGAGATGAAGCGGCTGGTGAGCGAGATCTACGGCGGTCACCACGCCGGCTTCCACCCGTCGGCCTGCGGCGGCCTGGCACACACGGCGCCGCTACCCACAGCCACAGCGCACCCCGCCGCCGCCGCGCACGCCGCGCATCACCCCGCCGTGCACCACCCCATCCTTCCTCCCGCCGCCGCCGCCGCAGCCGCCGCCGCCGCCGCTGCAGCCGTGTCCAGCGCCTCCCTGCCGGGCTCCGGGCTGTCCTCGGTCGGATCCATCCGGCCTCCCCACGGCCTGCTCAAGTCTCCGTCGGCGGCCGCAGCCGCCCCTCTCGGAGGCGGGGGTGGCGGCAGCGGTGGCAGCGGTGGCTTCCAGCACTGGGGCGGCATGCCTTGCCCCTGCAGCATGTGCCAGGTGCCACCGCCGCACCACCACGTGTCGGCCATGGGCGCCGGCAGCCTGCCGCGCCTCACCTCCGACGCCAAGTGAGCCGGCCAGCGGCGTGCGTTCTGGAGAGCCAAGGGCTGTGGAGCAGCCAGGACTGGCCAGCGCTGGGGCTCCGGAGCTCTGCTGCAAGAAGGGGAGCTGGACCATGGGCTGGGCCTAGGGAATTACGGGGAGTCCGATATCTGAGAACCGAAGTAGTGGGAGCATTTGGAGCAGCCGGGAGTGAGACGCCTTCGCTCCAGAACCTGATTAACTCTTCGGCTGAACTCTCGGTGGGTCTGGGAGACGCCATGGTACAACGCGCGCGCGGATACATCCATCACTGGAACTCCCCCCGCCCTGCACCCCCAGGAAGAGTCTAAAAACTGACTTTCCCGTGTGCACAGATTGACTCCCTGTCTCGGCTTAGGCAGCTCGTTGCCAAGAGGCAGGTCACAGGGGCACTTGACTACCTTTCCCCATTTCGGGCCAGGTAGGAGACTCCCAGGAGCCGCACCACAGAAGCCACCGCTGGGCCTCACTCCCAAGGTTCATCCCTGGCCCAGGGCCAGGGGCGCTAGGCTAGTTGACTCTGGGTACTGACTCTGGGTATCAGGGGCGCTGAAGACCGTGTCCCATTTCCATAACTGGGGGAACCTGTGTGGTCTCAGAAGTGTGGCCTTCTGTCCTGTCTCTCCTGTTGACTTGTGGTTTCCTAACAAATCTGTGAATGTTCCTTTTTCCGATCACGCGAGCAAGCTTTACAGACGCTCAAAATAGAAGCACTTGTGGAATGGAATAATCCAAACTACCGACACGGGGACGGGATGCTCTTTAGACCTTATTTTTAAATAGAAACCACACCACCATCCCCTACGCTAAGCACAAGGCAGTTTGGTTTCTTATCCGGCTGGGGACAGCTGTTTTAGGTACCGGAGGGCTTGACAGAACAACATCAGAAAGTTGCTGTGAATATAGTTTGAGTTATTTGGGAGGGGGGTTCCGTTGGGATTTTAATAATTTCTTGTGTATGTAAATATATCGATGAAGTGCACGATGCTAGGCTCTTTGTTCGTGTGACTGCCAGCCCCTCCGGAGTCTAAGCCGGCTGTTTTCTTTCTCTGTTGTCCCACCCCCCACCACCGCCACCCCCCCACACACACACACTTTTGCCACAGTTAACACAAGCGGCAAATCCTTTCACTCGCTCCCCGGCCTGCGCTGCAACATGGGCTTTAGGACGCCTGCCTCCTAACATCCCACCTCTCCCGCGCGGGCCCTGCAGAGTGCACCTATCATCTGTTTTATTTTTGTAAAGAAAAAAAATGCTAAATAATATTTATTACTTGTTTGGTTGCATAAAACGAAACAAAGGATGGAGTGTTGAGATTTTAAATAAAATTTAAAGTGAGTCGGGTGTTTTCGGTCCGTGAGAGGGGGTTGGGGGAGGGGCAGGGAGACACTGAGGACCGCGATTCCTCTGGGGGAGGATTTGTAGCTCGTTTGGTAGGCTTAGGCTCGGAAAAAGAGGGGATTTTTGCTACTCCCTCCCCTAACACATGGTTTCTTTAAAAGGGCACACGCCCTGATGTGTACCGCAGCTTTCTTGGGCTTTTTAATTTCTCACACCTACTCGGAAACTCCTTCTCCCTTCAATTGAAAATTGAGCTAGTTCAAGAGTGAATTTTCCTTCCGGGAGTGCGGAACTTTGGGCCTTTGCTGAGGTTCTGGGAGCTCTAACAATGTCCGCCTCAGCCGCGATTTTATTTTCTCTCTGCTCAAGGGCTTTCGCTGGCCACCACTGAGCCCTTGGCTTCAGCTGAGAGACTCTTGGTGGCCCGAGGCCCCGCAAAGCCTGGGCGTTTTGTGCAACGTTCTGCAGGTTTTGATGAGTACTCACTAACGCTTCATCCCTTCTCCATACCCACCGGCCTGCAAAGTGTGGGCGCCTGGAACCTTCCTAGCCTTAAGGCAGCTTTCTCCTGCAGCCCCATGGCCCTGCGAACTTTTCAGGGGCAGCTCTGCCTTCTCTTAGACACCTGGTTTCTTAGAATCCTAAACTGCAGTGCAAATTCGGGGCTTTACTTTCAAGAGAGATTCCGTGCAGAAAATGTTAAAAGCTTCTGGCTCCAGCCAACCCTCTGGAGCGCTGGCGTAGGAACAGGATCTCTGAAATGTCAGCCTGGTGCTGGCAGCAGACCCTTTATCGGATGGCATCTTTAGTGGCCGCCAGCAGAAGGTATCTAGACTTGGAACTGGAGATTTCCCTGTGTTTGTTTTGTTTTTGCTTTTTGTTTTTTAGTTCGGTTCCTGGGAGCCCAGCTCATTCAGGAGTTCTTCACTCAGGCCTGAGTGAGGGTGGACCCTTCTGTAGACCCATTCGATGGCTCCAGGACAGGTACTTCTCCCACCTCCAGTGGGTAATGCCTGTCTGCTAGCCAGAAATGCAGGCTCTCAGGGGTGAGGTGTTGCAGGCCCCACCTAGCTTATCACAGAAGGCCACCACAGCGGCCACTACCATGGCCACCACCACAGCGGCCACCACCACAGCGGCCACCACCACCACTACTTTTTTCTTCCTCTTGGCTGTCTTTCATCCTTCTTTCTTCCTCCTTCTCCTCCTCTCCTTAAGGTTAGGAGGCATTTGGAATTCCTGGGAGCATAGAGAAAAGAGAGAGAGAGGACCTGTGGAACCCCAGAAAGGGCAATGCTCAGCAGGGTTCATTCCTGTTGGTTCTGAAATCCCATTTGAAGTGCAGCTTGCTGGGTGTTTGGTCCAGGCCCACATGCACACACACCTAAGGTTGCCAGGACGTGGGAATCCCCAAAGCCGAGCTAAGAACCTGGAGGGGCAGAGATGGGCACCCTGGCAGTGTCTAAAGCTGGCACACCAAGCAAGGTTCTGCAAGCCCCTGCCCAGGCTGTATGCATTTGACAATTGCAAGGAAAGAAACCAAGTCTGCTTTGCCATGGCAGACCCCAAGTATCCCAGGCTCAGAGCCTCCTCGTCCCCCACAGAAGAGGGAGGACTGGTATCCATCCTGGCTTTGGGCCCTCCCCTGAGCCATTAGCCTCAGCTGTGGGGAGGCCTGGGCTCAGTGAGAGGCACCCCAGACCTCTAACCACAGCAGGTGGCTCCTGTCCTAAGGTGGGCCTCGCCTGCTCCAGGGTCAGGAGGTCTCAGGTCAGTGTTGATCTACCCTGAGAGGTGCTCCCAGGAGACTATGGGTGACCACTTTGACCTCCGTCATGAGATTTTATGTTTCCCTCCAGATTTTACTTGTGACTTCTTTGTCACAGATTTTTTTTTTCCTTCCAGTTCTGAGCAGCTCCTCAGCCTCTACCCAGCCATGTCTTCTTTGTGGCCTTCATGGCTCCCTAGCTCTCAGTCACAGGGCCCAGGGACTCATCAGACACAAGATCTGAGAGACTTAAGTCCAGAACGCCACTGGAGATGGAGTGGACACTGGAGATGGAGTGGACAGAGCCCGGGGAGCAATGGGGAGAGAAACTGAGTCACCTCCGATAGCCTCCGCACCTCCCCCACAAGCACACCATCCCCACGTTCTCCACACTCCCCTAGGTCCAAGTCCTAGAAAAGGGACTGAGCCCCTGAACTCAGTGTTGGAGGACTCTGGGGATCGGCTCGAGCTATAAGGTTCCTCCCATGCCACAGAGGGACTCACATCTAGAGACAATGAACAGAGGGCAGGCAAACTGGCAGACAAAGTGGGTACCCTGGCGGAGGAACACATTGCCAGGCCCAGAGGTGTCCCTCCCAGGGAGGCCAAGGATTCTAGTGTGGTTGTGGGAAGATGTAGTGCCAGGGACACCCTTGATGACCTGGTGCTCCTTCAACTACGCAAGTAAGACCTGTTCTCGTTGTCCTTCATAGGGTGTGAAGGTTTGCTTGTTTGTAGTCTGTTTTAGGCACTTGGGATTGAACCTTGTGAAGGACAAGCGATGCTCTCCACTACTGTCTGTCCTATTTATTGGTTTACTGGTTTATTTTGAGACAGGTTCTTACTAAGTTGCCCAAGCTAGCCTCAAACTCATCTATAACCCAGGCAGGCCTTGGACATCCAATCTTCCTTCTTCAGCTTCCCCAGTAGCTGGGATTACAGGCCCGCACCACGGGATCCAGCTACGGTGCTATGTTTGAACGGCCCCCCCAGCCCCCCCTAACTCCCCCCCCCCATGTTCTCATGTACTCTATGATAGAGAAATAGCAGTTTCCTGTTAGGGCAGAATCAGCTTAGAGGTCTGTCTGAACCCTGTTAAATAAGTACCTCGATACTGTGGCCAGGCTTGTCTTAGACACCCCCCCCCCCGTACCCTCCATCTCTTCCAGTAGACTCTGTTTATCACTACAGATTTTGTGCCAAGTCTTCTGCCCCCCACATAACACCCGAAGGGATCATAGGAAGTCTTCACCGACAGCCCTACATCAAGGGCCACAAGACAGCTTATGGGTGAACAACTGTCACTCATAACCTCTACAGACCAAAATCAGGCCTGGTTGTTCAAAGAAAAATAGCCGATGCTCCTAAGTCCACCCCCACTGCTGGGGAGAGGCTCAGGAACTCACCGAGTCAGCTTGACCCCTGGTCAAAAGCCCAGCCTCCCAAACAGGGCCATTACTCCATTCCCTGTCAGGGTGCAGGGGCAACCTGAGCAGAGGTGAGGGAGGAGGCTCGACCCGGTAGATAGGGAGCACACACACACACACACACACACACACACACACACACACACACACACACACCTATTTTCAGCTCTCTCCCAGGAGCTGAGTTATTGCCATATGGCTGCATTGTCTGGCTGCAGGTTATGAAAGAGGATGCAGTTAGGAGGACCCAGAGCTGAGCTGGCAGTTCAGGCTAGGGATAAAAGGACTGGACAAGGAGGTGGACATATTTATTGAAGGGGAGTGGGCACAGCGCTGACACCATTGTGTGCCAGCTCATGGATTTCTCACAGTAACTCTGAGGAGCTGCTATTATCCCACATTCCAGGCTAAGAACCTGTGTTGGGGCAAATGACCACAGTCCATAAACTCGGGCTGCGGGCTTGTCCTACAAGAGTCCCTCTGACCAAGCCCATACCAGCCCCACCCCCAGATCCAGCAGTCCGCAGACTGGCTTAGCTCCAACTGGGGAACTCTTGGATCTGATGCTGCCCTCTCCCCACAACCGGCATTAGGGAAGCTCCTGGGTGCTCCCCCTAGGTGCTTGGACCCCATCTGTCCCTGACGCCTCCATCTGGGTTACAGGCTGTGCCAACAGACTTTAGCAATTAGCGGGCTCCGATGGGCGCGCTGCAAGGGTGGAGGAAGGACCGGAGCAGGTGAGCCGCGATGGCTGCTCATTAGGGACTGTCGTTACTGCCAGGACAGCTGCGGGTCCGGTATCAGCCGGAATCCCAAGCCTCAGCCCCGGTTGCGCTTTCCGAGCCTGGGGAGCAATTCAGAAAGGGGTCGCAGAAACCAGGCAGACACCGAGGCGGTGGGACCCAAGAGGTTTTGCTGGGACTCACCTCTGTGGGGCTTCAGACTCGGCTTTACAACAACACCCTGGCCCACTACCCTCCAAAGCGCCGGTGGGTCGAATTGGCCCTTGAAATTTCCGTTCGTGGGTTCGGAAGCCAGACAGCCTGGCAGAACACTAACTACCTTGGAGGTGGCATTTTGAATCGGGTTCCTCCAGCCAGCGCTGTGTAGCATGGCGGCTTACAGAGATTGCTTTGAAAACTCGCTTTGAAAGGTGCCCAAGGGTCCTCTCCTCCCGCTGGCTTCCTGGGTCTCACAGGTGGGTGCAGAGGGATTACTCTTCCCGCGGGATTTCCCGCGCGCGCGTCTGGGTGCACTGCACAGATTCCGAATGCCCAGCTGGCTTGTGCCATGCAGAAGCTTCTTTGAAAAAGGGCAGTGGCTGCTCAGCCTCTGGGTCCACTGGCTGAGAAAAGGTTGGAGGTCCTCCTCCGAGAAGCGGGAACACAAAACCAATCCAAAGTGCCTACTTTTGTGTGGGGGACCAAACCGGTTGCTTGAGGGTGCACACATATCCATGTACCCAGATGGGAACGGCTTGTGCACAGAGGTTTATACACCTAAGTTCCTCCTTCACAGGACCATCCACCCCGCGTTTGCACAGACATCGACCGGCTAGTGCTCTGAGCACGTGGAGCAGTTAGCTGAAGTTCTCAGGCTGGACCTTCAGATTTGTAACTGTCTCCCTGGCTGCCTTGAGAGCTAGCCTTCTCTAGTCTCTAGAAACGGAGCTTTCTCCCCCTCAAACCAATCTCGGAGCTCTCTTCCTGGTGGCCTGGCCCACAGAGAAATTCCACCCTCAGGACAAAATCAGGTCACAAGCAATTTCCTCCTCTTTCATTTGGGAGTAAAAGCCTGCCTTG